ATTAATGCTTCAAAAGGGCTAATTTCACAACGAGGGGGGAAAAGGAGGAAGTAAATTTAGATGGGAAAAGTCAGGTGAAAAAAAATGTGAATGAAAACAATGGGGTTTTTTATTACCCACCACACATGGTTTGGTCAGAAGTAAACAAATCGCCCGGTGACAGACTAAATGATTTTGCCTGTTCTCTGATTTAGTTTCCCCTTAAAGAGACTGACAATTAGTAGTCCCTTAAATAGTTCCTGTCTCCAGACTGGCCCTTCTCCCCATTCCACTAGACGTTAAAGAAAAAAAACCTTTTTCCCTCTTCTGATTCTTCCTCCCAAGGTGGATTCCTGTTGCACGTGCAGTAAAGCCAAGCTTGCTTGAGCACAAAACCAAGGAGGAAAGCTTTACTGTTCTGCAGCGGCCAGTAGGGCTTACCTTCACAGTATACGTGCCTTGGTGATTTTGTTTATATTTGCTCTGAATTAAGCTGTCCCATCACTTTGCAGCTGCACACCCATTAAAAACTCCTGCCTATTATGTTATTATTTATTACCTGTTTTCAGCACATGGCGCTGCAGTACTCTCGTGTCATTTTGCAGGAGCTGAGGTGACTTTCTGCATTTCTGAAAGTTCGGCCAAAACCTGGTTTTCAGGTCAAGAAGAGATCCCACTCTTTATGCTGTGCCGTAGTCATAGCTGCCTTCTTGTGATACACCATGTCAGTAGAGTCCTACCTCTACTGCAGACTTGCTGAGGAATCATGCATCAGTCGCTTCATCATGCAGTGAATTTCCAAGTTCAAAAGCATCACTAGTGAGAGCAATGTATTACTACTGCAGCACCAAAAACATTGAGTTGTTATTTATGTCTCATCAAGCATCACCAGAAAGTGCTAGTCTGAAAATTGAGTTCTTCTCTTACGGCTACTATCTTTCCTCATCACAAAATTAGCCAAAAAGCAACATTTGTGGAGAGGCTTCAGGAAATTAAAACAACCTATACTTGACATAAATCAAAATATTTGAAGCATTTTGTTTCAGTGTTGACTCCTGTGTATAACCAGAGGCCATACATTAAGAACCAGAAACTCTAGACTTTCTGGAACATTTTGATGTTTTCCCAAACTCTAAGTTTAAAACAAAATTGTCCAAATGTCCACTACATTTTGATTGCATTGAAGTGGCATATTAAGATGGAAAAATGATTACATGAGCACTTTTTATTCATCATCACCAGTAGGCCAGATTATAATTCTAGTTGTACTGGCAAAATTCCCACTGTCTTCATTGTGCTTGCCAAAATACTAATGTTTTGACTTTGGTAAGAAACACTGTTGAAGATGCAGAAAACCACCAGAGCACATATTCCTCTTTCTTTGGTGTTTTTGGCTTTGAGCCAGGACATGGGAATAGAAGTTGATTTCAGTAGTTTAAATTCAATCTGGTTTAAATGTGGCATTTTTAAGAATCAGTTTTCAGAACAGAAAAATACAGACCCTAAGGACCAAAGACTCTCCTATAAGAAGAGCTTGTCCAATTCCAATCCCGAGTACCAGGGCCAGATTGTTCACATCAAGTTTACAGAGAAATTAGAAAGGAAAAAACCAAATCATATTGGATTATATTCAAACAAATATTCAAGTGAACCCTGAATACACTTTATATTCAGATAAAATGCTTGGCACCCTTTTGATAACAAAATGACTTCAGGCTGAAACTCTATATAGAATCATAGAATCATAGAATCATTGAGGTTGGAAAAGACCTCTAAGATCATCGAGTCCAACCGTCAACCCAACAGCACCATGCCCACTAAACCATGTCCCTAAGTGCCTCATCTACACGTCTTTTAAATACCTCCAGGGATGGGGGCTCAACCACCTCCCTGGGCAGCCTGTTCCAATGTTTAACCACTCTTTCAGTAAAGAAACTTTTCCTCATGTCCATTCTAAACCTCCCCTGCCGCAACTTGAGGCCATTTCCTCTCGTCCTAGTGCTAGTTACTTGGGAGAAGAGACCAACACCCACCTC